ATAATAATATTATAATATCAAACATTTATAAACATATTAATAAAAGTACCAAAGCTATGATAAAATAAATGATTAAATAAATAAAAAATAAAATGTACCTCACATTGAAGTTTGGGATTAAAGTCCAAAACGAAATCCACAGCCTGTAAGACCTTTAAACCAACTGAAACACTAGTAGAACTGATCTTCTTCTCTTTTTTTATTTTTTTTTTCAAAACACCCTTATTTTTTTATTTTCAAAACTTTTTTTTATTTTTAAAAAAGCTTTATTTTTGTTGACTCTTTAAAACTTTTTTTACTTTTAAAGCTTTTTTTTTCAACGTTTTAAACCTTTTTTTATTTTTTACTTTATTTTGACTTTTCAAAGCCTTTTTTGTTGACTGTTTAGAATGACCTTTTAAATTTTTTTTCGAAGTTTTTTTTTTTTTTTACTTTTCAAACAATTTTTTTTTCAAAAAACTTTCAAGCTTTTTTTTGTAAAAAAATGCCTTTCCACGTTTTTTTTTTGGGCGTCTCACTTTTTTTTTTTACTTTTCCAATCTTCGTTCTCTTTCTTCTTTCTTTTTCTTTTCTCTTCTTCTCTTTTTGCTTTATCTCCTTTCTTTTCTCTTTTTTTTCGTCTCATGCTAAAACTAAACACTTTTTTTTTTTTTGGCTTACCTCTCTTTCTTTTTTCTTTTCTCATTCTCTTCTTCTTCTTTACCTCCCTTCTTTTGTTTTTTTTTCTTATTTCCTTTCTAGTTTGACACTCTTAGCCGAAAGTTACTATCACCTCTTTTTTTTTAACTTTTTTCAAGCTAGTTTTTGGCACTTTGTTCCTTATCGGATCAATAGGGACTGTGATTTTTTTTTTATATGTGAATTTTTTATGGTGGTGGTTTGTTGGAATGGGGTTTTTGTGGCTTAGGGTTGTTGTAAGCTTGATGGTTGGTGATAAGGTCAGTTCTAAATGATTTTAAGGGACTAGTGGGTGGAGATGAAGGCATGAGTGAAGGGTACGGTTAGTGCTCTTAGGGAAAGGGCTAAAGCGAAGGCTAGTATGAGGTTCGGGTGTTTCGTGGGTTATGGTAGTAGGTTGGGTTGTGAGTGTATGGGGCTTAGACGAGGTGACTAGTGGGAGAGGTCTCTGGTGCTGCTGGGTCATGTGGGTTTTCTAGCTTGTTGATGGGGTGCCTAAGACTAGTGCTAGATGGTGAGGTCTCTCATGGGATGGGGTGGTGTCCTCTGATGTGCCAGGCTAATAATGAAAAGTTGAGGCTCTGAGGATCTGTGGGCTAAAGGGTGGCTAAAGATTTAATGAGGGTTAAATGGGACTTGCTTGTGGGTGAGGGGTGTAGGTGCCTGGAATGGGTCTTGGAGGTCTGGGGTGCAGGTTTGGCTAGTGGCTTCTTTGATTTTTGGTAGGGTGTAAGAGAGTGTCCGGTTTGGGGCTCTTTGGCCACGAGTGTTTGTTTCGAGACTGAAGGGTATCCGAGTACCGGGTATAAAGGTACAAGGTGCTAGGGTCCTTTGGCTTAGAGAAGGATGCGATTTTTTAGGAGATTTAAAAGGAGGAGTAGGTGATTTGGTAGGGTATGGGTCCTGGCAGTGCAGGGTATGAGTGCCAATGGAGTGGGTTGGGTAGTTGGGGTAGGCATTGTTAGGCTAAAAGCCTCCAATCCAATCCAATCACACCAACAGAAGCGAAATCAAACAATAAATCAAACACATAAGAGATAACAATTTAACGTGGTTCGGTCCAACTGACCTACATCCACGGATGAGAAACAAGATTCACTAGTTGTAGAGAATTACAAACATACATCATATCATTAACCTCACTCAACAATCAATACTCATAAGACACTCTTAATCTCCTCTAGTCCTATGAAGTATTCTCAACCCAAACAAACACAAACCCAAACCCTTGTGCACCCTTTCAACATAGCCAAACACATACCCATATGCTCCTATACATCATACCTATATGGACCCTCTCAGTCTCCTCTAGTCCACTCACGAACAAATATACATACCTATAAGACGTAGAGCCCCAATACTCTTATGGGGTGTCTATCCCACAAAATCCTACAACTCTCTTACATCTTTTTCTCATACCTAACCCTGTAGAGACTTCACCTATTTATAACCATACAAACTTGCCCATTAAGAATCTTTTTCCTCTTAGAATTCTTCTCCCGTAAGTCAAACTTGCCTATTAAGAATCCCTTTCCTTTTAGAATTCTTCTCTTGCAAGTCAAACTTACTTATTAAGAATTCTCTTTCTCTTAGAATTCTTCTTTTGCAAGTCTTCTTGTCCATCAAGCAATATCTAATAAATCTCAAACAAATCTCTTATGGGATTTGAGTCAATATTCTCAACAATCTTCACCTTAACTCAAATTCCATCAATCATCTATCTTCATGCTAGACATGCTTAGCTCTACCTGTAATGGAAGTCTTATAATCATTTTCTCTTCTCTTGTGTCTTCACGCTTCATACAAACCAATCTGCAATCTTCAAAACTCAAACTTGAACTCTTCTTTTGAATTGAGCTCCTTTAAGCTTATTTCTTCCCATGTCTTAAACCAAGCTCTTCTCACATCTTAAACCTTTAGCTTTTCCACGTCTCAAACCTTCAGCTCTTTTCACATCTTGAATCTTCAACTCTTCTCACGTTTCGAACCTTCAACTCTAATACCATTTGTTGGGGAACACCACAGCTCTGATACCATTTGTTGGGCTAAAAGCCTCCAATCTAATCACACCAACAGAAGCGAAATCAAATAATAAATCAAACACATAAGAGACAACAATTTAACGTGGTTCGATCCAACTGACCTACATCCACGGATGAGAAACAAGATCCACTAGTTATAGAGAATTACAAATATACATCATATCATCAACCTTACTCAACAATCAATACTCATAAGACACTTTCAATCTCCTCTAGTCCTATGGAGTATTCTTAACCCAAACAAACACAAACCCAAATCCTTGTGTACCCTTTCAACATAGCCAAACACATACCCATATGCTCCCATACATCATACCTATGTGGACCCTCTCAGTCTCCTCTAGTCCACTCATGAACAAACATACACACCCATAAGACGTAAAGCTCCAATACTCTTATGGGGTGTCTATCCCACAAAACCCTATAACTTTCTTACATTTTTTTCTCATACCTAACCCTGTAGGGACTTCACCTATTTATAACCATACAAACTTGCCCATTAAGAATCCTTTTCCTCTTAGAATTCTTTTCCTGTAAGTCAAACTTGCCTATTAAGAATCCCTTTCCTTTTAGAATTCTTCTCTTGCAAGTCAAACTTACCTATTAAGATCCTCTTTCTCTTAGAATTCTTCTTTTGCAAGTCTTCTTGTCCATCAAGCAATATCTAATAAATCTCAAACAAATCTCAAACAAATCTCTTATGGGATTTGAGTCAATATTCCCAACAGGCACAAGGGGCAGGAGCTCTAGGTATAGGTTATATGGAGCATGGTGTTGGCAAGGTCAAGTGGATAGGCTAATGCCCTGCACAATGCCTATCCTTGTCCCATCTCTTTTTTTTAATTAATTATTAATTTTAATATTAATAAATAAAATTTAAAAATGGAATTTCATCTGATACATTTGGATAAAATTCGATATCTACAACACTATAATTTTTTATATTCATAGTTGCATAAAACTATAATAAGATTAATAGTGGTGAAATCTAGTGATAAAATACCTAACTTTTAATTTCAATTATTAACATATATCCCCTTACAATCTCAACTCTTATCAATATTTAACCCTTATGATCTCAACTCTTAATTTCCTCTTGTATCAAAAGAAAATCGTTTATCATTTAATCGATAATTTTCTTGTTATGACTTTTAAAAATAAACTCATATGGTCTACCAAGGAAATCAAATATGATACTTAGTACAAGAAATTAATTGTAAGCCTGAAAGATTTGTAAAAGGTTGCTCGAGTGTCAAATTACCCTAAATTAAAACTGTTTAATAGTAAAAATTTAATAAAAAAGCTTTTCTAACACTTATATTGATGTAAAAATGATGGATAATTAAACTGGGTCGGCATGTTTTAAAAGGTTATGATCAGCCCAAATTAATCCCATCTTCTACGTCTATTTCTCTCAAATATTGGATATGATATGTCATACAATAAAATCATCGTAATCATGAAATCTTTTAAGAAAAAAAATGGAAAACGAAAACGAATAATTGCTATCAACTAATTGCCAATGTCGTTGAAAGTCTGCATACAATTTTTCTTCTCCAAAACCATGGTAGTACGACTATCAAGGTTAGTCTACAAAGAGTTCCCGAACCCTACAATCGTATATATGCATGTTTAGCTATAATGATCAGTGAAAAGCAAGAGTTCTGATGGCGGAAATTCAGAGTAATAAAAATTAAAAAAAAGACTCAAATTGAGAGCTATGAGGTTAAATTATACTACTTTAGTAAACGTGTTCTAATAATTTGTTGTTAGTTTAGTGATATTAGAGTCCGCTTTAGGGCAAAGGATCTCAGACCCAGACGTAGCCAAAAAGACAAAAAAAAAAACATGTTTAGGCATAATGATATCAATAATGATGATAACATTGGCAAATTGTAACAAGGCCGGCTAGTTTAAAATGGGTTTAATATTGTAAATCTAGTAGCCCAACGGGGTTCAATAGGCTTAAATTTCTGGGCCAGTTGGTTGAAATAACGAACCCTTTTGAAATATATGTAAATAAATAGTGATATTAAGCATTTTTTTCAGGTTTGTTTATAAAAAAATTACTTAGATAACCACGTGTAATATATATTATTATAAAGCTTAAAAATAGTTACCATTGCCATCTGAGCTCGAACTACTAGATGCCGCTGGCGGTTACGATTGCGGATGCCCCAGTGGCAGGTCGAACCCAAGGCCCTAACAGTCACCTCGAAAGTACCCTAAAAAATCATACTTCGGCCCTTGTTAGTTTATGCTAGGTTTAACCTAGCAAGATCAAGAGAGTGAGAAAGGAGCCAACTTAAATGCTTTAAAACAAGCTAGGCCAGATGACTTTAACAAATTCGCTGAGCCTTGATTGCAGTGACAGATTTGTCCAGTTCCATATCCATTAGTCACACATTTCCCATCACCACACCAAGCAAGATCACAACCTGTGGAGCAAAAAAATATAGTTGGCATGGTATTTTCTTGAACATGACAATGAAAATGAAGTAATATGAGAATAATGCTTTATATAAACGGTTAGTCTGATTTGCTGGTGGTGGAAGAGAAGCTAAGGGTGGAGGTGGTGATGGAGATCTTTTGCCACAACGAAAATCGACTTTGCCTGCAATTGTTGAGTAAATAAATAATTACTGAATTAATTTTCTTCCTTCCTTGTGCTCCTTGAGAGAATAGATTATGAATTACGAACTGTATAGACTTTATTAAAAAAAAAAAAAAAACTGTATATACTTAATTTCACAAACTTATCATAACAGTATTTTCTAAGATAATTAAGAGACAGCAAAAGTTAGGCAAATATTTGGCAGAATGTAAACAATAAGTATAGTGTGACTAGAAAAGAAAACATTCATTATTCGTTCAAACTTCAATGTTACAAGAGAAAGGATTCTTTATTTACTATTTTAAGAAAATACCATAGAAGTATTCTATTTATATATAGAAAACTGTCACTAATTATGGAAAGTATCACATATAATATCATAATCATAGATATTATTCTAATTACAGTATCATAGTCCCTAATATTACGTTTTAATGCATAATTACATAATATTACGAAATATTACATTAACATTCAACATGTCTATTTTCCCATGAACCCATGATATTCCTAACCATTTACATTTCTTTGGCAATATATATACATACATGAAATAACATAAGTAGAGAGGAAAGAGAGGATGAGCAACTGACAGTTAGGAATAAGACAAGAAGAGAAGGTTAAAGGACCAACCTGTATCTTTTTCCAACCAGGTTTACATTTGCAGTCAAATCCAAGCAGTGAATTGTTGGAAGCCTCACATGTTCCTTGCCCACAATTTATAAACAAACAACCAGCATCTGCAACATGTTTCATCACCAACAATAACATCATAAGCAAGCACAGAATTGATCATAAAAACATCAAGCTTAGGAGAATCCAAATCCCACCATAACTGATAATGTTCATAAGAATGATTGCAGGGGGTGTTACCTTCAAATGGATTTGATGTCACATATGAAGAAGTGGCTGTTACAGTTGAAGTAGAGAAAGAGAAGGAAAGAAAAGACAGTGAGATTGAGATTCCAACCATCCATTGGTGTGGGAGCAGTCAGGAGCGCAGCAGTTGGTGAAGACAGTTGGACATATTTATTTATAGTAATAGAGGCAGATGAAGGGCCTGGATGAGCGTGTTGGCTTATCTATCTTTCCGCTTTGGCTGACTCAGACTTTTCGTAACCTTGATGTTCCTGTAAAAGCGAGGACGAACATGAAACAATAAGCAGAGCATCACAAACAAATCTAAAGTTCAAATCTTACTCATACAACCTAATTGCAAGAAAAACAGAGGCATCTACTCATTTCATGTATGCGATTTGTAACAAAGAACAATTTAAGGGAAAACACAGACTCTGGCATGTTAGCAATATCTCTGGGTTTACGAATTTGGATTTTGATTAAATGGACAGTTTACTGATAAAATTAGCGAACAATGATCAGGTACACCAATGAGATTACGGATAAAAATAGCACAACAATGTATTGTGACACTTTAATCACAAACAATAAGCCACTTTCAAACGACCACACAAAAATGACAGGAAATATAAGAAATACTTACAATGAACACCCTTTTGATAAACATATCGGGAAAGCAAAAAATAAATCATCCTCGAAAAGACTTCTCTATTTTCGTTATGCTGATCCAAATTCGGCAAACCATTATTCATGCTTCTCAATATCGGCCTGAGAAACACTTCGCTGGACTTTTGCCAAGGCTTCTTCAAAGTCACACATCGCAACAGGATCCTTTGAAATATCATCTTTGGACATGTTCTTAATCTCATCACGTGTCTGTCCAGCTATTTTACCCCTCATGCAATTCAAGGAAGCATCACGGCAAACATTTGTGAGATCATCCCAACTATCCCTCGGTTCGACGAGCCACTTCATCAATGTCCACATCAGCAGCTACCTGCCACAAAAAAATACCAATACCATTAAGTAGAACACAACTTAATGTTGTCGTAAATTATTAGTACTCATTTTATAAATGAACAATGAAAAGGAGTAGAAGGATACATCCATACATACATATATATATATTAAATTAGAAGACTGACACAGCACGCGAGCTGTAAAATAGAAATACCAACTTAAACAGAAAAAAGCCAAGAGTTTGGCTTTCAGGACCTTGTAATCTTACTGACAGATACAACAAAGACAAGCTAACCTTTTCAAGCTATGGAGAGTCTTTGGTATTCAAAGCACAATGAATGACAAACTGAAACTCAATTTATAACAAGAATAGTACGCTGGCCATTGGTCAATGCTTTTCGGGGGTCATTTGTAAGGAAACTTAGAAAGCCTTCAAACTTCGGGTGCCTTGCTAATGTTTCTGTCAGCAATGCCAAATTGCGGTGGCGGATCTTCCATAGCTGAAGCATGACATCTTCAACTCCCCCCCTTTAAAAATAAAATCTTTAAGATGCTTCTGCCTTCTATTAAAATTTTATGTTGATATGGTCACATCAAGGCGATTTTTAGGTTCTTTTTAGTGAAATAGATAATGCTAGAATCCATACTACCAGCCCAAGAAATCTACTAAAATTTTTTAAAATTTATTTATCAATAATTAAATCAACATAAAGGACAATTGTGACAATTTAGGGAAATTAAAACATAAAATTAGAGGGTTCTATAAAGGGGACTCTAGATACGATAAATTAGTGGTTTCACTTTTCTCAACACTTCATTCTCTTACATCCACCACTGTCACCCAAAAAATAAAACTACTAGGCAGTGAAATTTCCTGTACTCATTAAACCAGTTAATGAAGAAAATAGCTTTTGTGAGATATAACCCGTCTATTATAATATTCTATAAACATTTAAATCATCTACTTTTCACATCATTCATATATATTCTTTTATTTGGCCCAAAAGAAAGATTTTAACTTACAGCAGCACTATTATGCTTCCAAAGCTACATTTTATCTTATCGATCAATCACATGAATAATTATAGCTAAAGTAAAACTAAATATCAATAAAACAAATAAAATGTGGCATGACAGAAAACACAAGAAAGAAAATAATCATACCATAAAGCCTTCAATCACAAGATTATTCATAGATTAGCGAGAGTAATTTACCTAACTGTTTTTAAATTGATCCAAATAAACTACTTAGACTCCCAAAATTAGGCAGAGGAATATATATACGCTTTTCCAGTCGTCTCCTACACTGCATGAAGAACAATTAGATACAACTAGTGCAACCTAGTAACTTGAATGATAAGATCTCTGAAACATATGACTTGGTGCAAATAAGATATCCAGTCAAATGAGAAGGAAGAAAAAATATTCAAAACAAAAAAATATCAAACATAAACAAGGCCAACCTGAGAGCCTCATCTATGTCCCATGGGAAGTTAGTGCAGCCAAAACCATCACTATCTTCCGGCTACCATCTTCATTCGTGACAGTATTATTTACACCATCTACCTGAACAAGAAGCTCAGATTTTACCCGTCTAGATGATTCATGCTTCCCAGAAGCCCTAAACAAAAAAAATGCATTCAAAGTCGAAAGTTTGACAACATTAGCAAAGAATAAATCTATTAGTGCACAACATCAAGGACCTTATTTAATGGTATACAAAAAGCTAATGCCGTAAAGAGAGAGGGAGACAGTTCAGTGCATCAGTAAATGCACATAAAACTCCCCTCATGCTAGAAAAATATTGAGATCTAAATATTGAGTTAAACGTTAAAATCCCGGCACATACATCCACCTCCCCCTCACGCTAGGAAAAATATGCACAGAAATATATATAAACTCTGAACATCAAGAATAAATGAAAGATAACTGCCAAGATAGAACCCACATAACAGCCAAACTGTACAGTAACAGGCGGTGAACTTACCCACGGGCATTGCAAAAAGAGTCAATCTCATCAATAAAAATTGTACTAGGTGCATAAGCTCTTGCAAGATCAAACAAGAACCGGACCATGCGCTCACTCTCCCCACGCCAATTTGGGGCTAATGTAGGAGAAGAAACATTGAAAAAAGTTGTTCCACACTCAGTGGCAACTGCTTTAGCCAGAAGAATTTTGCCAGTTCCAGGAGGCCTGAACATAAGAACACCTTTCCATGGCCTCCCAATTCCCTAGAGACAAATATAAGAATAAAATAACTCGTCCTGCCCAGCAGTCCAGTTCAGAATAAACATATTTAGATGTGGGAGAAAAAGGATACGAAGAAAAGTTATTTTTGTAATTTTCCAGAATTTTAAAAACAAAACTAAGTCCGTCTTAATGACTTTTTCTATTAGTAATTTAAAATGTGGTGTATCTCACGTTAGATAAAAAAATTTAATTATTGATAAATAAAATTAATTTTTGTATTAATTTTATTTATATTTAAAATAATTATGTTTGGACAAAAATAATTATCATATGACAAATGATCATAATTATTTGAATATAAATAGATTGTTATTCATAAAAGTCATGATTATACAAAAAGTTATAACCATCTGAATAGAAGTTTATATTTGTTCATTCATTATAAATAAATCTTTCAGTATAACTATTTTTATTACTTCTTATTAAAGAGTTTGAAACTTTGTTGTATCCTAAAAGTATAATTGCCTTTAAGAAAGTATTCTTCACGTTTCAAAGCCAAAATTCTTTTCTGTTATTCCTCCTCTCTTATTTATTTTTTCTAACAATTTAAAGGAAATAATGAGAAATTTATATTTCGCATAAAGAAGATACAAGGAAAAAAAATTGGCATGATTTAGAGATCAATATTAGAGAAGGTTCAAGGTGTCAAAGAATTAATGTTTTTGTGGACCAAAATTTTAATTTTGATAAAGATCTTCATTAGAGATATGTATTTTATTTTTTGCATACTAGTAAAATAAATTGTTAATGTGTTTATCTCATTCAATCAATCTTTTTACCAATAATTATGCAAAAAATTGATTACATTGCATAAATTTATGCATATATTGAAATTGACTCCACAATTGAGTTTAATGAATTGTATTATATTTATTTGAAAAATCGATTTTTATAAAGGCTGAGATGGGAAATAGCCTGCAAACATAAAAAAGAAAGATATGAATTGATCTACAACCAAAAAAATTATCACTCGTTATCAAATAACGAATTAAATAGGGTTATAATGAAATGGACAATTGTTTAATTGTCATGTCTCTATTATATATAGAATAGGCAAATTGTCTCATAATTTCTATGAAAACAATAAAAAATGGGTAAAGAAATTTATCAAAAGAAATTAGATGCAAGTAAGAAATATATGCAAAAAATAAGATTTGGCTACAATATTAGTTTTATTATTAAATCATGGCACCAAAATTGACATAATAAGTTGAGTTAAGCTATTTGTATGATTCTATCTTTGTTGGTCATTTATAAATCAAATGTTGATATAATTAAAAAAAATATTAAAGCATTTGTCGGTTACTAGCATTTTGAAGGATGCTCATCAATGTCTAATTAGGCGTATTTATAAATCAGAAAAGAACATGCAAATTCACTGATCCAAAGGCACCAATACATGCATGTGTTTAATTTCATTTTGTGATGGCATGGAAAATATTGGTATAGTTTACCATATATTACGAAAATGAACTAAATGTGATGGGATTTCTTTCTTATACATATAAGAAAGATATGGACATGGAGATAAAATGCCATCATTCATTTAATACATTATTAGTTAAAGAAAATAAAGGTATTTTTGCTTTTTGTACCTGAAAAAATGGCCTTTTGTAGGCTATTAAAATGAAGTAAACAAGTTTCTGAGATTTTCAATACTTTCATGACTATGGCAAGGATATACCATATTAACATATAGGCTTAAATAATAATATTGGTTTGTAAAAGCCGTAAGCCTTAGATTTAGCCAATCAATAATTTAACCAATAAAAATTCATCATGAATTTGTGCACGAAATATGAATAGAACTCATATTATGATTATTGTTTATACTATTTTATAAAATGATTCTTTGGATTCATGTTTCATGACTTGCATTAATACGGTGATCTAGATTTGAATAT